ACTTGGTAGCCCAGGCTGGCCTCGAACTCACAGAGATCCGCCTGGCTCTGCCTCCCGAGTGCTGGGATTAAAGGCGTGCGCCACCACCGCCCGGCCCTACTCTTCTTTCTTATCCCCCTCCCTAGTTAATCCACCTAGTCCAGAGTTCTCTTTATTTCTTACTATGTTTGATTTCCTTTTCCTTGGAAGATTCCCTCCCTTCCCTGATCTTTTACTAGACACCTAACCTCCGTGGTTGTTCTGACTGTAGTACACATATTGAAAGCTTAAAAGCTAACATCCACATGTGAGACAAAAACATACAATATTTGTCTTTTGGGGTCTAGGTTACCTCACTCAGGATTATTTTTTTCTAGCTCCATCCATTTATCTGCGAACCTTATCATTTCATTTTCCAGGACCGGCTGAATAATATTCTATTGTGTAAACGTATCACATTTTCATTACCCATTCATCAGTTGATGGACATCTAGTCTGTTTCCAATTTCTGGCTGTTAGGAATAGAGCAGCAGTGAACATGGATGAGCAAGGATCTCTGTAGTAGGATGGAGAGTCCTTTGGGTGTATGCCCAAGAGTGGTCCATCTGCGTCTTGAGGTAGATTGGTTTTCAGATTTTGGAGGAACCTCCACAATGATTTTTGTAGTGTCTATATTATTTGGTACTCCCTCCAGCAATGGGTAAGTGCTCCCTTCCCTACATTTTTTTTTTTTTGGTTTAGTTTCTTGTTTGTTTTGACCTTTGTTTTATCTTCCTTCCTTCCTTCCTTCCTTCCTTTCTCTTTCTGTCTTTCTTTCTGTCTTTCTTTCTGTCTTTCTTTCTTTCTTTCTTTCTTTCTTTCTTTCTTTCTTTCTTTCTTTCTTTCTTTTTTTCAAGACAGGGTTTCTCTGTGTAGCTTTGCGCCTTTCCTGAATCTCACTCTGTAGACCAGGCTGGCCTCAAACTCACAGAGATTCGCCTGCCTCTGCCTCCCAAGTGCTGAGTGCTGGGATTAAAGGCGTGCGCCACCACTGCCTGGCTTATTTTTCTTTTTGAGAGAGAGAAAGGAAGAGAGGAGAACATGAGGTTGGGAGGGAAGGAAATGGGGGGAGCTGGGAGAGGGGAAATATGAAAATGTATCCTATGTAAAATTTTTTTAATAAAAAAATATAAAAAGAGGGCTGGAGAGATGGCTCAGAGGTTAAGAGCACTGGCTGTTCTTCCAGAGGTCCTGAGTTCAATTCCCAGTAACCACATGGTGGCTCACAACCATCAATAATGAGATCTGGTGCCCTCTTCTGGCCTGAAGGGACATATGCAAGCAGAAACAGAACAGTGTATACATAATAAATAAATAAATCTTAAAAAAAAAACTTAAAAAAAAATATATATATATAAAGAAATCACCTATACTTTGAGTAAGGGATCATTAAACAGAAATGCATGTCAAACAAGGTTTTGTATGATGGGTTGATAAAAATGTGGTCAGAGGCATATAGGAACCTAGCTGTGTATTTCTCCTGGGTGGAAGTTCAGTGTGTTTATAATGCAAGTGTCCTGAACATGAAGAAATGACTGGACATGTTTTGTATGCCTTTAAAAATAACAAATTTATATTTTTAAGAGTTTCATACAATGTATTTGGATCATATTTACCTGTTTCAACTCCCAGATCCAGTCTCTCCACCCTCACCCTCACCCTCTACCCACCCAACTTCAATTTTTCTTTTTTCTATTTTAAAATATTTATTTTTGCATCAAAACCCAGGATAGAACTAAAGTTTTGTATTTCTTAATACCAGCTAGCATACTATTGGCACATAGTGCGTACTTAATAATTTTTCCTGATTAATCATGGAGTAGAAAGGCCAGCAGGGTGCTATAGGCCTGTAATTCTTACTTGGGAGGCTGAGGCAGGGTGATAAGTTTGAGTTTTTTTGACAACTTAGTGAGAATCACTTAAGAGCTTAGGGCCGGGCCGGGCAGAGGTGGCGCATGCCTTTAATCCCAGCACTCAGGAGGCAAAGACAGGCGGATCTCTGTGAGTTTGAGGCCAGCCTGGTCTCCAGAGCAAGATCCAGGACAGGCACCAAAGCTACATGGAAAAACCCTGTTTCAAAAAACCAAAAAGAGCCCGGCGGTGGTGGCGCACGCCTTTAATCCCAGCACTCGGGAGGCAGAGACAGGCGGATCTCTGTGAGTTCGAGGCCAGCCTGGTCTCCAAAGCGAGTTCCAGGAAAGGCGCAAAGCTACACAGAGGAACCCTGTCTCCAAAAACCAAAAAAAAAAAAAAAGAAAAAAGAGCTTAGGGCCACTGAGATGGCGTATTGGGTAAAAGCCCTTGTCAACAGGTCTGATGACCTATGTTTGACTTGGAGAACCACGTGATGGAAGTGGATTTTGATTCCCTGAACCTACAGGTGAAAGGAGAGAATTGATTCCCACAGGTAGGTTGACCTCTGCATTCCTGCTGTGGCAATTTCTCTCTCTCTCTCTCTCTCTAAATAGATGTAATAATATTTTTTTTAAAAAGAGAACCTCAGTGTTAGTCTGAGGCCCTAGGTTTGATCCATAACGCTGAAGGAAAGAGAGGGAACTAGAGAAACATAACTTAAAGTTAGGCAGCTAGTGTTCTGCGGCTTACACGGTCTGGAATGACTTATTTGGCCCTGTGTCAATAACCTTCCAGTTCTGGTTCCTCTGACACTGAGTGGAATGCTTCCAGGTATGTGTTGTTTCCCTGGCAACCATGTGGCTCCTGACAGCTGTGCATGAATAAAATTAGACTCTGTCTGTGCTAAAAAACCAGGTGCTCAAGTTCCTTAATTTGGATGGAAAGAGGGTTTCTCCCTCATCAAGCTCAGTAATCTTGAAAAAAAAAGTACTAAAATTGTTTTCATACAATGCATTTTAATCATATTCTTTCCCCTTTCCCAACTCCTCCCAGATTCTCCCTATTTCCTACTCACCCAACTTCGTGTTCTTTCTCAAAAACAAACAAACAAACAAACAAACAAACAAAAAACAAAAAGAAAAACCAAAACAGAAAACCAAAACAGGGAAAACAACGGAACTCCCACAAGTGAAAATCCCACAAAATGAAAATCAAATCAGATAACCAACCAAACAGAAAATCAGTAAGAGAAAAATGCCAAAACAAAACAAAAGGCACCCACCAATGGAGTCTATTCTGTGTTGGCCAACTACTCCTGGGCACGGCGCCTGCCCTGGAATATGGTTGATAGGCCCGGGACACTCCATTGGAGGAGACTGATTTTCCCTCTCCCAGCGGGTATCAATTGCAAACAGCTTCTTGGTTAAGGGTGGGAGTTTGTGTCCACGTCCCCTTCTCCGTGCTGGGATTTTTGTCTATTTTGATCCTGTGGATGCTGTCAAGAGTCTCTGTGAGTTCATATGTGAATCAGTCTTCGTGTGTCTAGAAGACACTGTTTTCTGTTTTTCCACCTCTGGCTCTTACAGCCTTTCTGTCTCCCTTCCGGATGGATCCCTGAGCCCTGAGAGAAGGACTTTGATGAAAACATCCCATTTAGGCCAGAGTGCTCCGAAGTCTCTCGCTTTCTGCACATTGTCTAGCTGTGGATTTCTTGGTTAATTCCCACCGCTGCAAGAAGAAAGTTCTCTGAAGAAGATTGCTAGCTCAGTGATCTTTAAGTTTTCACAACTTTAAAGGAATGCTGCCCAAACCACATATCTGAGGTGGAGCTGGCCTCCGTGCAAGAATGTGTGCTTAGCATAGGGAAGGACCTTGGTTTGACCTCTGGTCCTACAAACAACAATACTTGGTAGCACCTCACTCACTGTAAGTTGTCTCTAAACTGTTCTTCCTAAGTTGTTATAGTGGCTTTAATGGTGAGTGCCTTATAACTATTATTATTATTATTATTATTATTATTATTATTATTATTATAACTATTAGCACATTGAAATTAAACAGGCAAGCCAGCTGTGGTGGTGTCTATGTGTAATTCCAGCCCTTGGAAGCCAGAGGTTCGAGAATGAAGAGTTTAAGGCAAGCTTTGGCTGCATAGTGAGTTCCAGGCCAGTCCAAAAAAAAAAAAAAATCCTTTTATAACTAAGCAGTTACATCTATATTCTTAAAATGTTCAAGGGAAATACAAATCCCCGAATTCATACATTAAAAAAGGATGCATGGGGCTTGGAAAGATGGCTCAGTGGTTAAGAGTACATGCTGCTCTCTGTGGCCTGGGTTAGGCTCCCAGCACCTACACGATGCAACCATCTGTAATTCCAGTTTCAGGGGATCCAACACCCTCTTCTGACCTCTGCAGGAACTAGGTATGCATGGGAGTTTCTAGGTCCTGTTTTCCTTTCCTTTCTTTTCCTTTCCTTTCCTTTCCCTCCTTTCCTTTTTCTTTCTTTCTTTCTTTCTTTCTTTCTTTCTTCTTTTCTTTCTTTCTTTCTTTCTTTCTTTCTTTCTTTCTTTCTTTCTTTCTCTCTCTCTCTCTCTCTCTCTCTCTCTCTCTCTCTCTCTCTCTCTCTTCCTCTCTTTCTTTCTCTCTCTCCCTCTCTACCCTGCTTCTTCTGGTGTTTCTTTGTTTATTTTTGCAGTCCTGGGAACTGAACTTAGAGCCTCACACATGCTAGGCAAATATTTTAATGCTGGCCTATATCCTCGACCCAAACAAGCTTAATAATAGAAATATCAGTTGGGTATGATTTTGCACCTCTTTAATCCAAGCACTCCAAGGGCAGAGGCAGGTGGATCTCTGTGAGTTCAAGGCCAGCCTGATCTAGTGAGTTCCAGGTCAGCCGTGGCCACATAGTGAGACCTTGTCTCAAAAATCAAATCAAGGTTAGGAGTACAGGTCAGTGGTAGAGGGCTTACCTAGCATTCGTGAGGCCTTGGATTCAACCTCCTCATGGAAAAACAGCAGAAATCTTACGCTTTTTCTTGTAGTCTTGAATCATATTTCCACTATATATGCTTATGCCAAAAGTATTTTGTTAATCTCTATTACTGAAATTATTAAGGCCACTCCACATAGTTAAAAGGGAGGTTTATTTAGTGGCGTAACTTACAAATGAAGGGATAGGTAGGTTGCAGGGTCTGGGAAAGGTGTGGCGCAGTCCGGCGGTGTTCTCTGGAGAACTCTGCTCGGTCTAGCTCCAGTGTCCAGGGTCCAGGAACCAAGAGAGCCCACACATCCGGATCTCAGGTCTTCAGGGTCCTCTCTTGGCCCCGCCTTGTAGGCGTGACAGTTACCGAAGCCTCAATGGGGGTTGGAGCTTCCAGATCAAGGCTGGAATGGCTACCCACTACAGATCTCTGCAATGAAGATGTGTATACAGATGAGAGTCAAGAACTCAGAAAGACGGGGTTGGGGATTTAGGCCCTGGGTTCGGTCCTCAGCTCCAGAAAAAAAGAAAAAAAAAAGAATTCAGAAAGACAAAGCTGGAGGTGTTTAACAATTTCCTTCTGGACAGCGCAGAGCAAGGCTGAGGAGCCATGGTCTCTGCCTTACAGAGAACATTCCTTGGTCAGGAACATGGACTATGGAGCTGTCTGCAGAAATGAAATCACAAATCCTTAAGTGAGAACAGCTGCAGGAACCAGACGCCTTGCTCTCCTCCACACGCAGAAACACACCCTCAAATCCCCGTCAAAATAAACTGCTGACCTTTTTTTTTTTTTTTAACGAATCCAAGTCCAGTCACCTGTTGATCAGTTATGTTCTGTTTAAGGCACTTTACTTCGCATTTCAGCTGTAGTGGTAAATAAAGAATTTAATGTTGCTATGCATGGTGATACACTTCTACACTTCTTAGATTCCAGCATCTGGGGTGGGGAGGAGGCAGGAGGATCCAGAATTCAAGGCCTGTCTAGGTTACATAATTTAATTCAATATCACACACACACACACACACACACACACACACACACACACACACACACACACACACACACCCCAAAACAGACAACAAAACAAAACAAACAGAAACTAACCAACCAACCAACAACAAAAAAAACCTCCAACAAACAGAGATATTATGTTTATCCTTCTTTCTCTCCTGGACTCCCTACACAGAGTCTCACTATGATACAGGGCTGGCTTTGAACATGTTAGCTTCTGGCTTCTGCCTCTGAAGCGCTGGGATTGTAGGTAGTACCACCATGCCTGGCTTGGCTAGGGTAGGTTTCAATTACAGACTAAAAAACAAGCTACAAAGTTAACACCAAGCAGAGTTTGAGAAATGTATTGATTTTTAAAGTTTTTTTTTTTTTTACAAATATATGTTGAGCACACTCCCTCAAGTTTTCTGCCCCCTCTCCCCCTCCCCCTCCTAGATCTAGGGAACTAGTCCCCTTGTTCCCCTAGATGATTTTACTTTCACTTTTTTTTTTTTTAAAAGATTTATTTATTTATTACATACACAGAAGAGGGTGCCAGATTTCATTACAGATGTTTGTAAGCCACCATGTGGGTGCTGGGATTTGAACTCAGGACCTCTGGGAGAGCAGTTGGTGCTCTTAACCTCTGAGCCATCTCTCCAGCCCTTTACTTTCACTTTTATAACATATATTCATATGAGATTTTTTTAAAAAGATTTATTTATTATGTATACAGTGTTCTGCCTGCATGTCTGCCTGCAGGCCAGAAGAGGGCACCAGATCTCATCATAGATGGCTGTGAGCCATCTTGTGATTGCTGGGAATTGAACTCAGGACCTTTGAAAGAGCAGCCAGTGCTCTTAACCACTGAGCCATCTCTCCAGCCCTCATATGAGATTTTATGTATCTCTATAAAGAAATCTAGGAACCACAAAGGAGAGAAAACATGATGTTTGTCTGAGATTGGGTTAAATACACTCCGCATGCACCTCTCTCTGTGTTTATTTTCCTGTAGATGACACAGCTCTTTATCCTGACCCAGTCCTCTGTCGTTGGACACTGAGGCTGATTCCATGACTTATCTGTTGGGGAGAGTGTCTAAGGCAGCAGCTTTGAATTAGTTGTGCCAACTAGCTGAACTAGTTTTATTAGTCTCGTCCATCTGTTCCTCAGGTCAGTCAACACTGCAGTAAGCAAACACTTGGTATGGCAGATGTAGATTCATTTGTAGTCTATCTGGGAAGCCACAAGAGGCCGTTTGTTATCTTTATCCAGCTGGAATCTCTCTCTCCTTTTTTCCCCTGTGTGTGGCTGCAGCTAAGGATTGAGCCTGGCAATTACTGTTCCCCACTCACAGTGCCTTCCATTCCTAAGAAATGTGTTTATGTGTTGAGTTTTTTTTTTGGGGGGGGGCTTGATCTTTGAGCTAGCCATATGTATAAGAGGATTTATTTTATTCTTTTGTTGTTGTTTCAAGACAGGGTTTCTCTTTGTACCTCTGGCTGTCCTGGAACGCTCTCTGTAGACCAGGCTGGCCTCGAACTCAGAGCTTTGCCTGCCTCTGCTGGAATTAAAGGCCTGCACTACCACTGCCCCAGCATTAATTTATTCTTAAAATTGAGTGTGTGTATGTGTGGGTCTGTGCACATGTGTACAGGTGCCAAGGAGTCCAGAAGAGGGCATCAGGTTCCCCTGGAGCTGGAGTTACAGGAGACTGTGAGCCACCAGACACTGAGAATCCGGCCTGAATCCTCTGGGAGGGCGGTGAGCACTTCTAACCACCTAACCATCTCTGTCGCCCCCAGGGTCAGCGCTTCTTGAAATCAAAATGTAGGCTCGAGTTTCACTTTCCTCCAGACTCTGCTCCTCTATGTATTACCAATCACATCGGAACGTGAAACCGAGCTCTGACCACCTTGACGGAGGCACAGAACCCCCTTCCTTTAGGAAGACAGACCCAGTGGTTGGCATGGGAAGGTGTGCTTGCTTGCTTGAGCATGGCTGCACACTGTTCTGTAGAAGTAACTTTTTGATCTGCTGATATGGCTTTGGATGGTGTGGTCTTTTTCTTGAGACCTCAGACCCATTTCTAACAGTCCAGCCAGGGCCAAGATGATAATGTTTACTTGAAGACCAGCACCCTCCCCAAAACTTATATAAATATTGGTTGATACGCCTACTTGGGAAGAAGACACCATCAAAGCCCATGGAGCCAGCTCAGTCCCTGTGACACATTCCACAGGGCTTGGCCTTTCACCAATCTGGCTATCTTCACTCTTTTAGGAAAAATATTTATTATTAATAGTTTTTAAAATGTGTGTGTTGCGTGTGTGTACATGCATGTGAGTACAGGTAACTGTGGAAGCCAGAGGTGGCAGATCCCTCTGGGGTTGGAGTTACGGGTGGTTGTGAGCTGCCCAATGTGGATGCTGGGAACCTAACTCAGGTCTTCTGCAAGAACAATAAGAATCTTTCTTAATTGAAATTTTTTTGTTTTTGTTTTTTGAGATGGGTTTCTTTGTGTAGCTTTGCACCTTTCCTGGAACTCACTCTGTAGCCAGGCTATCCTCGAACTTGCAGAGATCTCCCTGCCTCTGCTTCCCGAGTGCTGGGATTAAAGGTGTGCGCTACCACCACCACCATTACCACCACCACCACCACCACCACCACCACCACCACCACCACCACCACCACCCGGCCTGAAAATATTTTTTTGATAAAATATATTCTGATCACAGTTTTTCTTTTCCTTATCTCCCAGACCCTTCCCACCTCTCTGCCCATCCAATTTCATACCTTCTTTCTCTTTAGAAAACAAACAGGCCAACAACAACAACAACAACAATCCCCCCCCCCCAAAAAAAACCAGAATAAAACAAAGCAAGCAAACAGAAAAAAAAGTCAAAACAAAACCCACAGAAAAAGCACGAGAAACTCATGCACACTCAGACACATACACATGTACAAGCACAAAACCCAAGAAAACACAAAATTGGAAACCATAATAGATAAGCAAAAAACAAGGAAGGTTAGAAATAAAGCGCTATGGGACAAAACATCCCCCAGAACATTTACTGCTGGGCATGGAGCCTCCCCTAGGTTGGTCTGTAAGCTCAAACGCCATTGGAGAAAACTAATTTTTCCTTTGCCAGTGGTTGCCACTGGAGATAGCTTCTGGGTTAGGGATGGGGGTTCGCATCCAGTCCCCCCTCAGTGCTGGGACCCCCATTCTGGCTTGAACCTGTGCAGGCCCTGCGCATGCTGCCACAGTTTCTGTGAGGTCAGATGAGCATCAGTCCTGCTGTGTCAGGAAGGCACTGATTCCTTGAAGTCTTCTACCCCATTGGCTGTTAGAATCTTTCTACCTCTTCTTCCACATGTTCCCTGAGTCCCGAGTCCCAGCCCTGTGTGGCCAGTGGCTGAATTCTTAACTGCTCCAAGGCCCTCTCCACTCCTTACCTTTTGTTTTATTTTGGTTTTGACGCAGGGTTTCTCTGTGTGGCTCTGGCTGTCCTGGAACTCACTATAGACCAGGCTGGCCTCAAACTCAGAGACAAGTCTGCCTTGGCCTCCAGAGTGCTGGGATTAAAGGTGTGTGCCACGACCTGGCTTTTTTTTTTTTTTTTTAACATACTTTTAAGGAGTATCTGTCTTTCCTAGTGATGGGGGTCCAGATAGGAATATGCTCAGAAGGAGATTATCAATGAAGGAATGGGAAAATGAAAAACCCTATCTCAAACTAAGTTAAAGAGTGACAGAGTAGAAATCCAATGTCCTCTTCCAGCCTCCGTATGCCACATGGGCAGGAACCCCTCCCCCCATATACACCTCACTCACCTACACCACATTCAAACACATATACCCACAAAATAGATACATAACAAGAGTATTCCAATACTGGAACTAGTAATTTTTCTGCCGAATCCTTTAATGGGTTGATGTGGATGACTGTTTAGGACTGTGGTCATGGTTGAGTCTCATTGCCTCAAGGCCAGACTGTTGATAACCATAATGAGCCCTAATTGAAATGGCTTGAGGGCACTGTGGCGTTAAAACACGGCCTGACTGTCCATTTAGAAACACTTCCCCAAGTACAGTCCTTTAGAATTCAGTTTCTCTGTTCTGCCTGCGGTGGCTGAGTGTTTAATAAGCTTTCTATCTTCGCCCTTTCCTTATCAGGTGAATGTTGTTGGTTCTTTACTCTCTTGGCTCTCTGTTCTTTGGTGGGACTGCCACCCAGCTCCCATATAAATCACACACTGAGGCTTATTCTTTTTTTTTTTTCTTTTTTGGGTTTTCAAGATAGGGTTTCTCTGTGTAGTTTTGGAGCCTGTCCTGGATGTCGCTCTATAGACCAGGCTGGCCTCGAACTCACAGAGATCCACCTGGCTCTGCCTCCTGAGTGCTGGGACTAAAGGCATGCACCACCACCGCCCGGCCTGGAGGCTTATTCTTAATCATAAATGCTTGGGCTTAGCTTGGCTTGTTGGTAGCCAGCTTAACTTTCAGTCATCCTTTCTACCTTTTGCCTCTGGGCTTTTTCCTTTTCTTACTTCTGTATATTTTACTTTTACTCTTACTCCGTGGCTGGGTGGCTGGGTGGCTGGGTGGCTGGGTGGCTGGGTGGCTGGGTGGCTGGCCCCTAGCGTCCTCCTTTCCTTGTTCTCTTGCTTTCTTCTTCTTTTCCTTTCAGATTTCTCCTTCTATATAGTCTCTCTGCTTGCCAGCCCCACCTATCCTTTCTCCTCACTATTGGCCGTTCAGCTCTTTATTAGACCAATCAGGTGTTTTAGACAGGCAAAGTAACACAGCTTCACAGAGTTAAACAAATGCAACACATCTTTGCATCATTAAAACAAATGTTCCAGGGCTGGAGAGATGGCTCAGAGGTTAAGAGCACTGGCTGTTCTTCCAGAGGTCCTGAGTTCAATTCCCAGCAACCACATGGTGGCTCACAACTATCTATCAGGGGGTCTAATGTCCTCTTCTGGTGCCCAGGCACATATACAGGCAGAACACTGTATACATAATAAATAAATAATAAAAAAGTTCCACCGCATAAATGTAACACATCCTAAAATAATATTCTGCAACAGGTGAATTCTTTCACCACCCTCATTGCTGGTCCCTATTGCCTTCCTGAACTGTGGTTGAAATACATTCTTTTCTTTTCTGAAACTCTGACCGGGTATATACATGGAAATCAGCCAGACCACGGCATGACCTATATCGTTTGGATTACTCTAGATTGCCAGATATTATTTTAACTTTTTGAGACAGGGTCTCTGGTAGCCACACAGGCCTTCATCTTGTTGATGTTCCTGACTCAGTCTCCTGAGTGTTGGGATTATAGATATGCACTACCAAACCCAGTTTCCCCCCTTTGGAGAATCACCAGGCATGTGGTCTCTCTGGCCTCTGCTGCCTGTGTCAAAGCCACAATCCTTATCATGGAGCTGCATTCAGTCTCAATGCCTGCCATCAACACCCCTTCAACTTAGCCGTGTTGATGATTCTAGTTCTGTATTTCTGGCCTGTTTGGAGCTTCTGGCTACAGAAACCAGGTCTTGAGTGGGACAATAGCTCAGTCAGTAAACTACCTCCCACACAAAAATGTTTGGATCTCTGGCACCCAAGTAAAAGACAGACATGGCCAGTCATGTCTGTAACCATAGGCCTGGTGATAGGGAAGTGAACAAATTTGGATCCTGGAGCTGCTGCCTATCAGAGATCTCTAGGTTCATTGAAAGACCCCATCTCTTGAAACCGAGGTGGACAGTGGGAAGTGAAGACACCAGACATCAGCATCTGGTCTCCACACATACTCACCCCCACCGCCCCGAGAAAAAAGGAACCAAGACTTGAATGTTAACCTCTGGAGGAGAAATCGTGTTTATGGATATCTGCAAAGACAATTAAGAACATACAATTGGGAAAGTCACAAAGCATGTTAGTGGGCACAAGGTCTATTTCTCTGATTTCCTTTATTTTCCTCTCTCATTTTAAAGGACCCTTAGAGCAGGACCCAAGGCTCTCAGGAAGGTAAATGAATTGTCCTGTGTCACACAGCTGACTAGGACCTCAGGTCAAGGTTTCTAATTCCTAAGCTAGAATATCTAATATCAGCATTTCTTTGTGCTTTGGTGAATATGTGTGTATATGTGTGTGTGTTGTATGTGTGGGTAATGTGTGTTGTGTATGTAATGTGTGTGTTGAATGTGTGTATGTGTGTGTTGTGTGTGTAATGTGTATGTGTTGAATGTGTGTGTGTTGTGTGTTGTGTGTGTGTAATGTGTGTGTGTGCCCCTGCATGCACATGTGGAGGTTGGAGATTGACGTAGAGATGTCTTCCTCTCTGTTAACCTTACTTTTTGAAACAGGGCTTCTTCATTGAACCAGAAGCCCGTTGTTCACTAGGCTGGCCGGCCAGCAAAGCACGGGGCCCCTTCTGTCTCTGCCCTCCCAGCCCTGGAGATGCAAGAGTCCTCCTCCTCCTCCCCACCCCTGCCCAGCTTTTGTGTGGATGTTCAAGATCTGAACCCCCCGGTCTTCATGCTTGCACAGCCAACCCTTTATCCAACAACTCACCTCCTCAGCCCCAGAATTTCTCTTTCTCTTTCTTTCTTTTTCTATTTATTTGTTTATTTTTCTTGAGACAGGTTTTCTCTGAGTAGCCCTTGTGGTAATATATTTGCTTTTTTTGTTTTGTTTTTTTGTTTTTATTCAAGACAAGGTTTCTCTGTGTAGCTTTGGTGCCTGTCCTGGATCTCACTCTATAGACCAGGCTGGCCTCAAATTCACAGAGCTGAATTCTTAGAATCTTATTCTTCTACTAAGTTCTAGTGCTCTGGGGGAACGTCTGACAATAGGCCCTCTGCCGGAGACATTGACACATTGACACAGTTACAGAAAACACTGGCCAGAAAAGGAAGCACACAGCATTTAGCAGCTCCTTGCTAAGACAATGGTCAAAATTAGCCACAGCTCTGTTTCCTAACAGGAGGTAGCCAGCTACCTCACACTCACACAGCAACACTGCAAGACTCTCCTGCTACCATGCGGGTCCCTGCCAGGATGGACTGTATCATTTCAAACCAAAAGCAGAGCCCGCCCCCCCCTCCCCCCCCCCCCCCCCCCCCCCGTTATCACAGTAACAGAAGAAGTAACTAAGAAAATCAGTATCAAAAAGTGAGACTGTCGCTGTGACGAACAGCTCCATAAAGCTTTGTAGGCCTTTAAGACTAGTCTGAGAGAGAAACCTGGGAGAGTTTGGAGCTGCAGCCTATCGAAGCTTCTAGAATGCAGAGATTGAGCTTAACAGGCATTCTGTTGAGAGCTTGGAAGACAGGAAAGTCAAGAGTGATGTAGACAGATGGACTGGTGAGATGTTCAGCAGATAAAGGCCACTGGGGGCGGGAGGGGGGTGGGGAGGGAGAACAGCTTGACCACACAGGTTTAGAGATCCAGACACAGCTTCCGGCAGGTAACACCTGGACCCAGGAAAAGCCATAAACTGACACTACTTAGGGAGGGCCAGCATCTAAGGGAAAGTACCTGACATTCCAAACATTCCCTATACCCCTAGACAAATGCTGGCCAATCAGGGTCCTGAACCCTGGAAATCCCCTAGCCCTAACTTCGGCTATGATAGAAACCTCACCTTGCTTGGGTTCGGGGCTCTCTGCCTCTCACTTTTTAGAAATGAATTTTAGTTATTTCACGCCCCCCCACCCCTCTCTCACGCCCCCTTCCTCCCCTGCTGGCCCACTTCTCCACAACTCCCTCCTACCTCCTTTTCTTCTTTCTGCATGTGGCCCACTGAGTTTAATTAGTCACGTGCCTGAGGGTGGGTGTGGGGGTTATTCAAGGGCGCAGGGGCAGCTCATCTGTGACTTATACCACGGAGGAAAATGACACTCCTCTCCCTCAGCAAATGTTAATTGCCAGTAGTCTCAAGGGCTCCACCCTCATCCACCGGGAAGTGTGAGCGGCCCAGACTTGTGCAAATCATATTCAGAAACCACAGCTGCAGTCAGTTCCCGAGCACAAAGGCTGCAGTATCAAACAGATACTTTTTTGTTACACTCTTAGTTTTTTTTTTTCCCCATCCCCTCTTCTGGGACGTTCCCTGAGCCTTGGAGGCAGTGACACAGTTATTCCATTTGGGGCTGGACACTTATCCGTCACTTACTCTCGACTCTTTGGCCAGTTATAGATTTCTGCATTACCTACTGCCTGAAGAAGTCAAAACCTTCTCTGATGGAGACTGGGCACAGCACTATCCTGAGAAGGCAAACTTGAGCCGGTGGGATAGTTGGAGGTAGGGTCTTACTGGCATGTAACTTGACAGGTAAGCTAAGCTGGCTGGCCAGCAAGCCTTAGGGACCGACCCTTCTACCTCTCTCTGTCCCCAGCTCTGGGTTTACAAGTGTGTGTGTGCCACAATGTTGAGCTTTTTGATGTGGGTCGAGGGGTTTAAATTCAGGTTCTCATGCTTGGAAATCAAACACTGTACCAACTGAGCCAACTCCCCTGTTGAAAATATTGGCTACTCTACAAAATGTATAGTGTGTGTGTGTGTTGCAGGGGATGAGACCTGAGGTCTGGAACATGCTAGGTTAATAATGCTCTACCATTGAGTGTAGCATGAATCTTACAAAGTTCTTATTAATAAAAACAAACCCGGAGCCAGGTATTGGGGTGAACACTGAAAGATCAGAGAAACAGAACAAGCCACATCCAACTTCATCTTGCCAATTTCTCAGCTGATCTTGTTTCCTCAGACTGGAAGCCTCTGAGTCCTCATCCAAATGGATCTCAGCTGAACCGCTGCTAAAAGCCTCAAAGCTTAAAAGGACTCTAGTTCCTGGTCCTCACGCCTTATATACCTTTCTGCTTCCTGCCATCACTTCCTGGGATTAAAGGCATGTGTCACCATGCCTGGCTGTTTCATTGTGGCTTTGAACTCAGAGATCCAGATGGATCTCTGCCTCCGGAATGCTAGGATTAAAGGCATGTCTACCACTGTCTAAACCTATGTTTAATATAGTGGCTGTTCTGTTCTCTGACCCCCAGATAAGTTTATTAGGGTGCATAATATATTGGGGGGGACACAATATCACCACATTTCCCCCTTTTTTGTCTAAAATTTAAAAAAGCTTATACCTAATACAAGAAAAACTGTATCCAACAAGGCTATACAACATATACAGTCAAGAATTACATTAACGATGTCTAGTCCATTAACAATCGAGCTGTTCTCTCAGCCCCTGGGAACCATTTAAACTATTCTACCTTTGCACAGTTTGGTAGACTTAAAACTTTTTAAAATTATTTTTACAGGGGCACCCAGACTGGCCTTGAGTTTACTATGTAGCTGAGGATGGCCTGGAATTTCTGACCCTCCTGCCTCCATCTTTCGGGATTACAGAAGTGTTGGATTGTAGACTTCCAGCAAACACAACTGGCTTTATGTGCTGCTGGGGGTTGAACCAAGGGTGGATGCTGGACAAGTACTCTACCAAGAGAGCTTTAGCTGAAGCATGGAGATAATTCTCTTTAAAAATTCCTGCACATTTTATTTACTTGTCTAATCTGTTTCTTTATATTTATATATGCTGGTAGAAAGCATATTTTTGTAAATGCTGGCAGTATTTTAAGAATTGATTATTATCATTATTATTATTTACAGCTATGTATTTACTTGAGTAATGGTTCTAAACCTTTCTGTGACCTTTTAATACAGTTCCTCATGTAGTGGTGATCCTCCAACCATAAAATTAATTTTGGTGCTACTTCATAAGTGTAATTTTGCTACTGTTATGAATTGTAATGTAAATATTTGTGTTTTCCAATGGTTTTAGGCCACCCTTGTGAAAGAATCATTCGACTCCTCCCAGAGGGGTCACAACCACTGACTAGAGTCGACTGTTCCTACATGTGACTTTGGGGATTATACCTTCTCACCGTCATATGCTTTTTTTAAAAATTAATTTTTAATTTTCATTATGTATATGGGTATCTTGCTTGCATGTATGTATATGGCCACAGAAACCAGAAGAAGTCACTAGATCCCCTGGAACTGGAGTCCCAGCTGCTTTTGAGGGTGTTGGGATTTGATCCTGGGTCATTTGCAAGAATAAGTGCTGTGGACCACTAGGCCACTTCTCCAGGCCCCTGTTAGCATTCTCGAAGGTATAGTATGAAGATTTTTGAAAGAAACTGGCCTAGACAAGCCATCTTTAACAGAGTATGCACTCTGTGTTTTAATGTTTACAACTTTGAAAATAAATGTTACTTTATTACTTAAGGTTTCTTTTACAAAAGTATCATGACATAAAATTCCCTTTCAAGTTAAATGTATCATACTCTATGCTAGGTGGGCCTACACTTTAGGTAAAAATGAAATATTTTGACAAAAGTATTTCTTCTGCACACCTTTAATCCCAGCACTCAAGAGGAGGAGGCAGGCAGATCTCTGTGAGTTTGAGGCCAGCCTGGTCTACAGAGCTTGTTCCAGGACAGCCAAGGCTACATCTACAAAGACACCCTGCCTTGAAAAACAACAACAACAAGAAGCATATTTCTTAGGTTATTACAAACAAAACAGAACACCTTAAACATATGTGAAGGTAGAAATACAGCAAATGCTTGTACCCATCTTCCTTTGCTGCTTCAAGCTCAGAATTACTGCGGTGGTTTGTGTTAGGATTCCGGCCACTCCTCCAGCTATATGATGGACAGTACATGCGCAGTTCAGTGGCCAAGCAAGGGGTTTTATGTCCTGTGTAATCTGTGCACATGTGTGGTGCAGCTCCGTAAGCCCACATGCGCATGTGCAGGGGAATCCTTAAAAAGCCGGTCACAGACTCCTCCCCTCTCTTCTGCTCTCTCCTCCTCCCCCATCTCTCCCTCCTCCTCTCCTGTCTTTCCAACAGGCCTTAGCCACGTACTCTCCTCTCCCTCCCCTCTCCCTTCTAATAAAACTCTGCTCTGACAACGGGTTTTGTCGTGCCTCATGACTTTTCCTCGCAGAGTAAAAGTGCCGCATTTAAAACCAACAGTTTGAATGAGAAATGTCCCCTCTAGGCCTCCGTTCCCAGTTGGCACACTGTTTAGGAAGTGAGGTCTTGCTGGAAGAAGTGGGTCACTAGGGGCGGGCTTGAGTGTATGTAGCCTCATTCTACTTCCTGTTCTCTGTCTGTCTCTTGCTTGTAGTTGAGGATATGATCTCTCAGTTTCTTCCTCCTTAGCCATTCCTGCCCACCGTATTGGACTCTCAGCCCCCTTGAATCATGACCAGAATAAACTCTTTCTTCCATAAGTTGCCTTGGTCCTGTTTTTGGTTTTTCATCACAGTAGCAGAAAGCCAACTAGCACAACTACCAATGCTATGACTTGAAACAATATAGCTTTTCTTTCTTTTTTTTTTTCAGTGTGGGGCTCAATTGAACCCAGGGCCCTGCCCGTGGTCCTAAATATCCTACCCCAAATAATACAAATTAATCTTCTTACAGTCAGTTAAATACAGTTCTGTAGGTTAGGAGTCCAATAAAAGTTTCACAGAACCAAAGCTGGTTGTGGGGCACGTAGGGGATTCTGTGAGTCTCCATTTCCTTGTGTTTTCCAGCTTTGAGGGACATTGCCTGTGCTCTCCCAGGCTTGCAGCTTGTATTGGTTACTTTTTTGTTGCTGTGATAGAAGACTCTGACTAAAAGGAACTTAGGGGAGAATTGGTGAGGGGGAGAGGGTGGGGAGAAAGGAGGGGCTTATGGGTCCCACCCATCATGGTGGGGAAGGAACAGCAGCAGGGTCATGAAGTCAGGAAGCTGAGTGATCACATTTTATCAGCATACAGGAAACACAGAGAGAAAACAGGAAATGGGGAAGGCTATACAACCTCCTGTAGTAGAATATTATTTTAAGGTGTGCTACTTTTGTTTGTGTTGCATTTGTTTAACTCTGTGAAGCTGTGTTACTGTGCCTGTCTAAAACACCTGATGGTCTAATAAAGAGATGAACGGCCAATAGCAAGGCAGGAGAAAGGATAGGCGGGGCTGGCAGGGAGACACACACACACACACACACACACACACACACATATGGAGAAAACTGGGAGAAGGGGAGCTAGGAACAAGAGAGGAAGAAGGACTCCAGAGGCCAGACACCCAGCTACACAGTAAGCCACAGAGTAAGAATTAGATTTACGGAAGTAAGAGAACAGGAAAAGCCCAGAGGCAAAATGTAGATGGGATAATTTGAGAAAAGTTGCCTAGAAACTAAGCCAAGCTAAGGCCAGGCATTCATAATTAAGAATAAGCCTCTGTGTGAGAATTTATTTGGGAACTGGGTGGTGCCCCCCCCCCCCAAAATGAGTAAAAAACAAACAACTACACCTCCAAACCCTTCCCCAGTGATATACTTCCTCCATCAAGGCTCCACCTCCTAAAAGTTCCGTGACCTTCAGAAACAGCAGCACCAGCTAGGAAACAAGTATTCAAATATATGAGCCCACTGGGGTACATCTCATTCAAACCCTACGGTTCTTACCCTGCCCTAATCTTCACTGGCCAAATTCGTACCTCACCCTAGACTTGCCTACATTTGATGACATGATGTAGGAAGACCTGAAGTCTCTCCTCTGGTGGTTGACAGAGACCAGTTGGGCCAGTTGCCAGAGTGACATCAGATCACCTCTGATGTTATCGTATTTCCATCGGTATGCTAAATGACATCCCCTCCAGTGTCATGAAGGTTGACAACTGTCATTACAGTGACTTGAGAAAACTACAGACGTGTGATGAGTCCCAGAAAAATATCTCAGCCCATCCTCAGAAAAGATAAGATACAAATGTTCATTCCCACTGTTAGCCTATCCCACCCCAGAGTTATTGCAACCCGCCCATTTGTGGGGCTTAGGAAGTTCACTTATCAGCCTGCTTCCCACTTCTGTTCTCCATAGACAGGCAGACGGCAGCATGGTGGGACTCTGAGGAGAGTTTGGGCAAGGTGTGTGTGTGTGTGTGTGTGTGTGTGTGTGTGTGTGTGTGTGTCCCAGTCCGTCCCTTCTTACAGTTTTTTTTTAAAATGATTTATTTATTTTATACGTGAGGGTGTAGGATCATCTAGAACTGGAGTTATAGACAGTTGTGAGCTGCCATGTGGGTGCTGGGAATTGAACCCCTGAGCCATCTCTCCAGCCCTTCTTACAGGTTTTAAAAGACAGAAGGAGATAGAAACATTTCCTATTTTGGTCTGCAGTTGCTAGTGGTAGGCAGTGAGTGGCAGTTGAAGAATATCAGGTGACAGATAAACATCTTTTGTGGTGGCCATTCATGGAGGTCTGCAGGGTGGGGAAATCGATAATAGAGAAACAAGTTCCTTTACTTCAGAGAACCAAATTTCTTCAGTTGTCATTCTTTCGTCAAATTGGAGGTGCTTTGCACGATGGCATGGTCATAGCTAACACAGATGCCCCTGAATTCCTGATTCTCCTGCCGCCACCTCCCAAGTGCTGGGATTACAGGTGTGCACAGCCACACACAGCCCACTTTTCTTATTCTGTTGTGTGTGGTGCATGTAGATGAGTGTGCAGGTGCATGTGCATTCAGAAGCCAGAGCAAGACGTCCAGCATCTTTATCACTCTCTTTGTTCTTTTGGGCAGTGTCTCTTCCTCAGGCAGGACCTTCTCATTTCAGCTTGCCAGAGAGCTATTGTGATCTGCCTATCCTCACCCCCACTGCTGGGGTTACAAGTACCAACAGTCATGCCTGGTTTTTTCTGCTGTGCCGGGGATTTGAACTTACTTCATGCTTGCACGCAAGCCCTGCTATCCACTGAGCATCTCCCTAGACCCTTTCCCTTACTCTTGGCCAAGAGTAAAGAGTGTCCTTTGCTACTTAGTTGGGGCTGGGTCTTGTTACTGGTTCCATAATTCCAAGGAGAAAAAGGACCCAGTCTTAGATTGAAACTTAGACACAGCTTTTTCTTCCATCTTCAGTAAATATGGTCAGTTCAAACCTCCCTTCCCTCCTTCCACTGGTGATGTTGTAGCCCCGCCCTCTGTCCCCCACCCCCACACACATAAGGCTGGAGATGGTTCTTGACTCATGATTAGCCCCAAAGGATGAGATTGTGTCCACTTAGCTAATACAAAACGATTTCCACATCCCCCTGCCTTCATCTTGACCATCTTACTGGTCTCTTTGCCATGAAGGGTAGCAAATCCATAGAATCTGGAATCCAGGCATCTTTTTGGGGTCTTGATTCTGCTACACAATTCCATGCAGTCTTCTTGCTTCAGTGTGTCTACTTCTCTAATTTTCTCCCCTAGAGACAAATTCCAAAATTTGCTGTGAAACCAGTCCTCAGAAATCCTGTCATTTGCACGTTAAGTACTCTGATAGGGACCTTAGGTAAACATGAACAAAAGCGTATGACAGCAGTACACACCTGTGATTCTACTGTTCCTGAGGCTGAGGATTGTCAGTTCAAAGCCAGCCTGGAAAAAGCAAGGCACTTTCTCAAAAACAAAAACAAAACAAAACTCATGATAAAAAAAAGCATTATCTCGCCTTTAATCCCAGCACTCGGGAGGCAGAGGCAGGCAGATCTCTGTGAGTTCGAGGCCAGCCTGGGCTACCAAGTGAGTCCCAGGAAAGGCGCAAAGCTACACAGTGAAACCCTGTCTCGAAAAGCCAAAAAAAAAAAAAAAAAAGCATTATCTAGCAAGATAATTAATAATTATTAATTAATATTTCTCCAATGTCATTTAACATCCAGCCTATATTTATATTTCCCAATGTGTTCACAAATGTCTTTAAAAAAAGAAAAAAAAAAGGTTGATTGGGGACCTGGGGGTTGCTCTGTGGATAAAGGCACTTGTAGCCAAATCTGATGCCCTAAGTTTGATCCCTGGTCACTATATGGTGGAAGAAGAGACCCACTGGTAAGGTGTCCTCTGATCCCTTTTGCACCAACGGTGAGCACGGGTGTGCCCAGGTGCACTGGGGTGGGGAAATAAATCTAATAAAGTTCTTTGTATCAAATCAAATCATCAAATTAAGGCCCACAAACTGCATTTTGCTAACTTGTATCTCAAGTCTCCTTGGACAACGCTCCCTCTGACCCTGCCCCCGCCTACCCTGCTATTTAACATTTTTTATTTAAATTAAGGAAAAACCTTTTTGAGACAGGGGTGCTATATGACTCAGGCTGGTGCTGGACCGGGGATCTCCTCCCTTAGCCTCCCTGAGAGCTGGGACTCTTAGAGTGTTCCACCAGGCCCAGTGCCACCACAGCTACTTTTGAGTAAAGATTGTTTATAGTCTTCCGGAGCTGGGCTTTCTGGCTCTGGCTGATGGCTTCCTGGTGTGTTATCTACCCAGCATGCTCTTTTGGCTCCGTTATTTCTTAAACTCTTTGTTGACTGATTTAGTCCCCCTACCCCACCCCCGACCTCCATGGCATTACTTCAGTATGGAAATGCCTTACTTTGGCGATGTTAAGAGTTGCTCATCTGGGCCCGGTGGCGGTGGTGCACTTGGGAGGCAGAGCCAGGCAGATCTCTATGAGTTCGAGGCCAGCCTGCTCTACAGTGCAAGACGCAGGACAGACACCAAAACTACATGGAGAAACACTGTCTCAAAAAACCAAAAGAAGGGCTGGAGAGATGGCTCAGAGGTTAAGAGCACTGACTATTCTTCCAGAGGTCCTGAGTTCAATTCCCAGCAACCACATGGTGGCTCACAACCATCTGTAATGAAATCTGGTGCCCTCTGTGGCCTGCAGGCATACATGCAGGCAGAACACTGCATACATAAGTAAATAAATAAATCAAAAAAAAATTAAAAAAAAAAAACCAAAAGAAAAAAAAAAGTTGCTCATCTGGGTAGAGTTGAAAAGACTATAGTCTTTTTTAGTAGATAGCGACCATTCAGTGCATGCTTAAGGCACCCCAGACGTTGTTCTGGTTTGTCACTCTGTGACTTGTTCTACAAACCACACTCAGATTTGCAGAACTGGACCGGCATTCGCTGGCTCGAAGCCATCACACAGTTTCGCAAGCATAGGTTAAGTGACCCTGGTGCTGTTTTACAGGCTTATCCTAAGAATTATTTAAAATAGTAGATGTGCAGGTACCCAAAGTTGAACAAGCTACTATTCTTGTCGCTGAAAAGAAATGGGACCCCACAACAAACCTTTGGCCGGCTCATATACACACGAGTATTTTACACTTGAATATTTTTCCAAAAGGCCCTTGCGGGGCTTAGGAGATGACAGAAGACCGAAGACACAATCGCTCCAGGCGGGCGGCCGGAAGGACTCTGGCGGCTTCCTGCGTTGATTCCCGAGACGGTGCCACCGACTGGGACTTTGACCGCAGGGCGTGGGGTGGCCGGCTCCACCGCAGCCACTGTGCAGCGCGCAGGCCTCGAGGTCTCCGGGAGAGCGGCTCGGTCCCCAACGGGTCCATCCTCCATTCGTGCATCACCACCCACGGCTGGCGTCTTCTTCCTGCCGCCGCCCTGTGCAGCGACTTCCCGGAGGCGCCGCGATCCCCCGGCTGGAGGAAGGGCGCAGGCGGGCCCGGGAGGATGGCACCGGAGAGCTGAGGCCGCCACAGCTCCGCGTACGTTTCCATCTTTATCTCCCTCCGCTCTTCCGAGGCCTCCCGCAGCTGGCGTTCCACAATCTGGGCGCGGGCGTTGGAGGGCTCTGGGTTTCCGAGATGATTGACATCTGGACTCCACTGTCCAGCGCTGGGGCTGCAGCGCCAGCCGGGGTCCCCCAGGGCTGCGACCGAGGTCCCAGGGAGGGCCATAGGATCCAGGGTCTTCCCCGTGGCTTTGCTTCCACGACTTTGCGCCCTGCAGAACGTAGGGGTAAAGTAAGCTGAAAGAGTAGGTCCTGCGGCCGGGCCACATTTATACTTCAAGGTCAACTGCCGTTTCTTATTAAATGTTTGAAATTCATGGTCCTTGTACTACAGCAAGTTAAATCTGAAGAAAAAAACCCCAGCTTTCTGGAAACATTGTTTATTCACCGAGAGAGCTGTCTTCTTGTATGGCTATCTTAGCTACTCCTCAGATTGAAAAACAAAACAAAACAAAACAACAACAACAAAAAAAACATTTTAAAAGATCACTTAAGATGCAAATACTCACAAGTAAATAGCGATTGATGAGATTGTGTTAATAATATAGTTAAGATTATAAGCAGGCAGGAGAGGTACATTTAAGTATTACTTTTCGTGCTGTTTTGGAGGAGGTTTTAAATATTTAATGATAGCTTTGAAATTAAGAAACAGTCAGGGAAGAAAAAAAAATCTTTTGCTTTCAGTTGTAGATTGTGGCAATTCGTGCGTGTTGGCTAGCATAGAACAATACTTCTATTTGTTTTATATAAGCATTTTTATACCATAATTAAAAACAAAAACAAAACCAAAAAAAACTTGCCGGGCGTTGGTGGTGCACACCTTTAATCCCAGCACTCGGGAGGCAGAGCCAGGTGAATCTCTGTGAGTTCGAGGCCAACCTGGTCTATAGAGCAAGATCCAGGACAGGCTCTAAAGCTACACAGAGAAACCCTGTCTCGAAACAAACAAACAAACAAACAAACAAACAACAAAAAACTTGTGTAGTGGGTGTTTTTTTTGTCAACCTGGCACAAACCTAGATATATTTGGGAGGAGGAAATCTCAAAGGAGGAATTGCCCCCATCAGATTGGTCTGCAGGCAAGTTTGTGGGGCGTTTTCTTGGCTAATGATTGATGTGAGAGGGCCCAGCCCACTGAGGCACCCCTGGGCAGAAAGTGAACAAGCCAGGGTGAGAAAGTCAGCATTCCTCCATGGTCTCTGCTTCGGTTGCCTGGAGTTCTTGCCTTGTTTTCCCTCAATGGACAATAACCCGGGGAATGTAAACCAAATAAGCCTGTTCCTCCCGAAGTTGCTTATGGTTATGGTGTTTATATAGAAAGCAAACTAAGACAAGTTGATTGTGGTGTGGGGAATCGAAAGTATTCTCCACTGAGCCATATTCCTAGCCCTAGAAAAAAACAGGTCTCGAAATCCATAATGCCAGTCATTAATAAAAATATTTCAGCTTTCTTTTTATTTTCACAGTCAGGTAACTTGTTGATAGTTCACTAAATAAAATCTAGTTCAGCATCAAAACACATTTTCTGTTTTATTTCAGATGACTGTAGTCTGATTTTGGAATGCAGATGCCAACTTGGCGCCTTGGTACCCAACTTAGCCTAGGAGCAGCATTCTGTAGAAGGTGAGGGGACTTACTGGCTCTCCGGGCAAACAGGGCAAGCTGGGCTCATGAAGACCATCTCTCTTTCTCTGTCTCTCTCTCTCTCTGTCTCTGTCTCTCTCTCTCTAGCCCCCCCTCTCCCTCGTGGTTTAAATCCAAATCCTCAGATCTTTTTAGTTAGAATGATGACTTCCCACAGGCTTGGATCACCTGAGTGGAGTAACCAAGATGTTACTTCAGTTTTCTGCTTGTTTCTCTCTGAAGACTTCCCCCAAAGAACCTCAAGGGAGGAATGCCATTACTCCCTCCTAAGGCTGAGTGAGCCTGGGTTTTCCTCTGCAGAGTTCCATATGGGATGGATGAAAAGTCATTCTATGTACCTATTTAACAACCTTTAAACCTTTTTGTCAAAGCCAAGCAGGAGTAACTGCTAACTCTCCACTTGTTGCTGTGATTGTAGTTTTGTTTTTAAGTCCTTAGTATCAGGTAATTTTGCAAGGAAGGGAGGGAGGATATATACTCTACACACACACACACACACACACACCCTGCACATCCTCTACGCTTAGGATTGAATCCCTGCTTGGCTTCACTATATAGTGTAGGCTGGCCTTGGAATAATCCTTCTGCCTCAGCCTCCGCAGTGCTAGAATTACAGCGCCATGTCAGCAGCCCTAGCTCCGCCCCCCTTCAAATGATCACATTGTATTGGAGAGCTGATTGACATGGTACTGAGGTTTTTCTCTGGAGACTATGGAGCAGCACTAACATGCTTGCTTGCTCTCTTTCTCTGTCTTTCTTCCCTTGCTTCTAAGCCTCCTCTCATCGGATGGGTCTGCGGAGTCAGATGTCTTTGTTTTTGTTTTTCCTCTGTTGAAAGAAGGTCGACATTTGAAGGCAGGGATAGGAGTTTTCTCCTTTGCTGTGTTGTGTATCCCTCCGCATTGATGGCTTCCATGTTAGTTCTTGGAGTAGAGGGGGCGGGACCTGCTGAGTGGGCTCACACGATTGGCTGAGCCGTGTCTGAGCCTTTGCCCTGATTTTGGTGCCGGGAAGCTAGAGGTCTGCACCTTTGTGCCTGACACCTGCCCTCCAGCGCTCCAGCCTTCTTCCTCCTTGCTTGGTCACACCCTTAGCTCCTGAGTCACAACTGCTCAAACAGGGTTCTCTGGTGAGAGGAAGTGTGTGTAGGAGAGCAGAGATCTAGTTACCATTCTGGAATTTCATCATCTTGGGAAACACAGGAAAGCTTTTGATGAGTGTCAGCCAGGTGGGACTCCACAGCAAGGCCACACAGGTGCTGTTACATCAGTATCCTTGGTCTTGAGTCTGAAACAGGCCAGAGGGATGTCCAGATGGAGACTGCTACTTTCTCTGTGTTGGCATCGACTCAGTACTGGCTTTACAGGGAGGAGGTGGGAGCAGGGTGGTTGCTCATCCTGTTGCCTAGGCCAGCCCTGGCTTACGTTGTTAAAGTTCCTAGGGGGAAAAAAAGCCATCCCTACATTAAACATTCTATAAGTCTGATTAAAAATTGTGGAGAGTTGGAATGTTGCAGACCTAGAGCCAAATTATCTTAGTTCCCTAAATAGACATTTACCTAACTCCATGTTTGACCTAATATCCTGGTGTCTTTTAGGTAAATCCCTTTGGAGTATATGGTGGTCTGAATGAGAATGCCTGGCCCCCACATTTGAATGCTTGGTCCCTGGTTAGTGGAACTGTTTGGGAAGGTTCAGAGATGATGGCCTTGTTAGAGTAGATGTGGCCTTATTGGAGGAGGTGAGTCACAGGGGTTAGGATTTGAGGTTTCAAAAGCCCAGGCCAGGTCCAGTCTCTGCCTGCTGCCTGCTGACCAGGATGTAAAACTCTCAGCTACTGCTCCGCTGCTGACCAGTATGCAAAACTCTCAGCTACTGCTCCGCTGCTGACCAGTATGCAAAACTCTCAGCTACTGCTCTAGTGCCATGCCTGTCTATTTCCTCCATGATGATCATGGATTAATCCTCTAAAACTATAAGCAAGTCTCCAATTAAATGCTTTCTATTTCTTTTACAAGAGTAGCCTTGGTCATGGAGTCTCTTCACATCAAAAGAACAGTAACTAAGACAGAGTATAAGAACAGACAACCTGGTTTCCGCTAACCCCAAATCTGAGAATGTCATCAGATAACATCTGCACCTGATGTTGCAGCTGGAGTTTCCTGTCTTTTTAGTAACCCACCTACCCCCTGATGCTTCCACCAATGTATTTAAAAGTGTCTTGACTTATAATTTCTTTGTTGTGTTTCTATGAAACCTTTGTGAAACTGTTACCATATTGGAGTGTGCTATGTGGAGCTCCTGGGCTGGGCTCACACATATTTGGCTCTAGAATAACCTATCTCTTATTCCTTTTGATGTGACAGCTGTGTTTTTTGCACCATCCATGTCCTGGCCTAGTTTATATTATTATTCATGCTATTGTTTGACACTTAAAGGTGTCCCTAGTTGAGAGGTAGAGTCTATGGAGATTCTGGTCCCTTGGCACTTGTGGTTTGGTGAGAAACTGAGTAGTGGAGGGTTATCAGTAAACAAGTTAAGGAGCAGGCGGCCACTGTGGCCTGCGACCTGGTGATAACGATGCTGTGGGTTTTCTTTTTCTTTTTTTCCCTCTCTCTCTCTTTCTTTCTTTTTCTTTTTCTTTTCTTTTCTTTTTTTTTTTGGTGGTTTTTCAAGACTGAGTTTCTCTATGTAGTCCTGGCTGTCCTGGAACTTGCTCTGTAGACCAGGCTGACCTCAAATTCACAGAGATCCACCTGCCTGTCTCCTGAGAACTGGGATCAAAGGCCTGTGCCACCACCACCTGGTGTACTGTGGATTTTCTGAGAAGGTTCCAGGAGGAGAAGTTGATTCCACTTTGCAGACAAGGCTGCCTTAGATATTCTTTGGGGAAAGGATGTACTTAATATTTATCATGCCTGCTATAACCTCTTCAATCAAGTGCTTAATATAAAGTATGAAGACAGAGGAATGAGGTGCCTGGGTGTGGCTCTGTGGTTGGGTGCATGGTGA